GTTTTAAGTTTGTTCTAGGAATAGTGAATTTAAGTTTATTCTAGGAATAGTGAATTTAAGTTTTAAGTTTGTTCTAGGAATAGTGAATTTAAGTTTATTCTAGGAATAGTGAATTTAAGTTTGTTATAAAAATAGTGAAATTTAAGTTTGTTGTATCAACCTGATTAGAACAAACATCTGATATTTATACTCAAAACATATTTTTTATTATTTTTTTTTATCCAAAATATTTTTTTTTTTTACCCAAAAGATTTGTATATTAATTATATAAATAATATCAATCATTTAGGTGGTAAAATTCATTCCACTCGTGGTTGGTAGAGTGTAAATACACCTTTAAACAAACGAAAATGACAAAAAGAAAGGAAAATAAACATAAAAGTAAAATTACATTAAACGACCCTCAAGTGACAATGAAGCTCTCAAACGCTCCCCCACCTCAAGCGACAGTTAGCGAAGACCTGAAAAAGAAATCTAAAATGCAATGAGTAAAAAAGTACTCGGTAAGCAGCGTACCTGTAGGCTCTCATCGCATCCAGTTCCAAGTAGGTTTCCACGGGATTTTCTCTAGGCTCTAGGAAGTTTGGGTTTAACTCTATAGTTTGGCTGACCTTCTGGGGAGGTATCCAACGGTGTCGTGGTGTAGTTAGTTATCACGTCAGTCTAACACACTGAAGGTCTCCAATTCAAGTCTGGGAGACGCCATCTTTGCAATTTTTATATTTATAATCTCAATTCATTTTAGACCTTTAGGAGAAAGTTTAAGAGCCATCAAGCTTGATAAACATGGGAACCGAGGCCCTCGAACAAATATTGATTCATTTTAGACCTCTACAGCGAAGTTTAAGAGCCTTAGAGCTTGGTAAGTCCAAGAACCGTGCCCTCGAACACACATATTGCATGTAATTAATTGCTTCAAACGTTTCGAATTAGGGTTTCAATTTTAAGCAATTTTTTACTGTTTTATACACTATTTTTCTTCGACATTCTATTCTAAATCATCATGCCTAATCATAACACATAAAAATTTCGAAGAACATCGAACGTTACTCGATTTTTTTAGCACGTGCTTCAAACGTCTAAATTCGAGGTTTTCGAATTAGGGTTTCGATTTTAAGCACTTTTTTACTATTTTATGCACTTCGTTTCTTTAACATTCTATAATAAATCATCATGCCTAATCATTCCCCACAAAAGTTTCGAAACAGATGGACAGTTACTCGATTTTATTAGCACGAGCTTCAAACGTCCCGAATTCGTGGTTTCCAAATTAGGGTTTCGGTTTTAAGCACTTGTTACTGTTTTATACACTCCATTTCTTCGAAATTCAATTCTAAATCATCAAGCCTAATCATTCCCCACAAAAGTTTCGAAAAAGATGGACAGTTACTCGGTTTTATAAGCACGAGCTTCAAATGTCCCAAATTTTGGGTTTCCAAATTAGAGTTTCGATTTTAAGCAGTTTTTTACTGTTTTATACACTCCGTTTCTTCGACATTCTATTCTAAATCATCATGTCGAATCATTCCGTACAAAATTTTCAAAAACGATGGATAGTTACTCGGTTTTTTTGGAACGTGCTTCAAACGTCCTAAATTGTTGTTTCTGAATTAGGCTTTCGATTTTAGGAACTTTTTTACTGTTTTATACACTCCGTTTCTTCGACATTCTTTTCTAAATTATCATGCCTAATCATTCCCCGCAAAAGTTTCAAAAATGATGGACAGTTACTCAGTTTTATTAGCACGAGCTTCAAACGTCCCAAATTCGGGGTTTCCAAATTAGGGTTTTGATTTTAAGCAATTTTTTACTATTTTATACACTCGGTTTCTTCAAAAATATATTCTAAATCATCATAACGAATCATTCCACACAAAAGTTTCGAAAAAGATGGACAGTTACTGGGTTTTATTAGCACGAACTTTAAACGTTTCGAATTCGAGGTTTCCAATCTAGGGTTTCGATTTTAAGCACTTTGTTACTTTTTTATAGATTCGTTTCTTCGAAATTCTATTCTAAATCATCATGCATAATAATTCCCCACAAAAGATTCGAAAAAGATGGACAGTTACTCGGTTTTATAAGCACGAGCTTGAAACGTCCCGATTTCGCGGTTTCCAAATTAGGGTTTCGATTTGAAGCACTTTGTTACTTTTTTATGCACTCCGTTTCTTCGACATTCTATTCTAAATCATCATGCCTAATCATTCCCCAAAAAAGTTTCAAAAAAGATGGACAGTTATTTGGTTTTATTAGGACGTGCTTCAAACGTCCCGAATTCGGGATTTCCATATTAGGGTTCCGATTTTAAGCACTTTTTTACTCTTTTATACACTTCGTTTCTTCGACATTCTATTCTAAATTATCATGCCTAATCATTCCCCACATAAGTTTTGGAAAAGATGGACAGTTTCTCAGTTTTATTAGCACGTGCTTCAAATGTCCCGTAATCAGGGTTTTCGA